CCAGTTGGATTTTTAATTTTGCATCGCGTAATTTCGAAAATACAAGGCGCAAATTTTGAATGTGTTCCTGCAAGCCTGTACTAAAAATAATTATGTCGTCCATATAGACCATACAAATTTTATTCTGAAGGTCTTTAAGGACCTCGTCCATAACGCGTTGGAAAGTACTCGGCGCATTTTTCAAGCCAAATGGCATTCGTAGATATTCATAATGTCCGTTTTCCACGGAAAACGCTGTTTTTTCTATCGAATTTTGTGCCATCTCGATCTGGTGAAAACCGCTCGCTAGGTCTAAAGCCGAAAAGTATTGTGATCGTCCTAACTTATCTAGTATATCAGAAATGTTTGGAATGGGGTATCGATCGTTGATTGTTTTAAGGTTTAATTTACGATAATCTATTACGACGCGCCACTTTTGTACGTTTGAGGCATCGATTTTTTTTGGAACGATCCAAACGGGAGGGCTCCAAGGGCTCGTTGAAGGACGGATTATACCTTTCCCTAACATTTCATTTATTTGTTTCCTTATTTCCTCTTTATGGGCTTACGGGTAACGATATGATTTTGTGTGTACCGGAACTTCGTCAGTGGTTTTTATCTCGTGTCGAATTTTGGATGTAAATGTTAGCGCGTCGCCTGGTTTATAGAAAATGTCTTTAAATTCATCGCATAATTATTGATTGATTGCTGCTCTTCTGAGATCATGTGGGATAGCCGTATTAATTTGGTTATATCGATTTTTGAGGGAGAATTTTGAAAATATTTATTTTTATCGAATTTTTTTATGGTTTCGAAAGAATATATTTCGAATGCTTCCTATATAAACGATTCTACGGGAATTGGTTGCAACAAGGTCGTGTTAATGGTTTTATCGGTGTGGTTTTGTATTTCAACGGGTGCGAATCCGTTTCTCGCATGGGATAGGGTTCTAGGAATAAACAAGTTATTTATTTCAGTAGGTGGTACTAAAATATCGCCTTCAAAAACGTTAACTGGCAAATTCTTAATAATTTTCTCATGAGAGTTTATCGAAAATGAAAATTTTGAATCTGCGGGTTCGCGGAACTCAAAAGGAATTTGAATTGTTTTAATCGAAAGTATTTTGTTATTTAAGTCAATATTTATATTCATTTTCATCAAATCAGTTAATCCAATAACGCCATCGAAAAAGTCGTGAAAATCGAAAAGGATAAAATCGATTTCGTAATCGATACCAAACTCTGTAAGTAGAGGTATAGTAGCTTCAAATTGAGTATTTTGGCTGCCTACGGCTGTTTTTATAGTATTTTGTGTATTATAAATACAATTCGAAAAATATTGTTCAGCAATAATAGGTTTTAATACTGATCTATTACTACTAGTGTCTATTAATAATTTAATATTTAAAGAGTTAATTTGCAAGTAAGGAAGGGGGTTATACGAAGATACGTTTATTTCAATTAAGTTGGTAAAGTGTTTTTGAGGGGGTAGTTGTCTGGGCCTTACGTCAACTGGGCCAGTTGGAAACATTTTTTGTGGGGGCTTAAAGTAATTTTGATTAAAAGGTTGTTGACCGAATCGCGTTAAGTTACCAAATTGTGCGGGGTTACTAAATTGCTGATTTGGAAATTGAGTGAGCTTGGGTGGTACAAACGCATTATTGCTAAACGGTCTTTGATAAAAATTTTGAAGATGTTGATTTGTCGGTGCACTGTTTAAATTTCGGAAGTTCGGTTTTTGAAATTTATAAGGCTTGTTCAGAGTCCCATACAATCTTTCAAAATTTTTGAATTCATTTACATATGCCATGGCGTCTTCGAAACTTTGCGGTGTTTTTAAATGCATATTGTTTTTTAAGACGCCTGTGCACCCTGCGATAAATGTATTTAGGGCGGTTTGATCATAATGTTTAATATATGAAAGCTTTTCTTCCGGTGTATATTTAGACTCGTTACTTATACGCTGTGCAATGTCGCTCCTTAATAATTGAAGTCTACTTCCAAAATTTATCAAGTGTTCGTTTTTATTGGGCCTAGTCCTAACTAATTCTTCCATTCACTAATTTCTGTGCGATTACCTACTAGAACTGCGGCTCTGCCTACCAGTTTTTCCTGGATACATTCAAAAATATGTTTATTTAATTCCGAATTTGCAAGGGAAGCGTAACCATTAATTAAGCATTCGCATCTGTTGATAAACTTATTTAAGGTATTGCTATCACCTTCGTAAGGTTGAATGTTTTGCAATTTTGATTTAAATAAATTCCAATTTACTTGGTCTGTCATTTTTTTTGATATTTTTCTTTCACTAAAGGTTAGATTTTTGAAAATTTCACTAATTTCAGATTCTACGTCACTACTTAATGCTTTGAAATATTCGCAGCTTGTTTCTCATTCACAATTTAACATCAAAAATTGATCGATTAAAAAAAAATTGTTTCCCTAACTACTTGACGTCCGATACGTCTTGCTTAAAATTATCCCTATTAAAAGCCGTAACGGGGGATCTTAAAGGGGCGAAAAGAAAAAATCGCACTTACGGTTTTCCCTTCCCTGATCCTTTGTTGCACACTGCCTACGAGAGTCTTCTCTGGGTTCGCCAACAAGTTCTTTGGATTGCGCTGTAGCGGTTGAAACCACTCCTCAGGGTAGCCTAATTCGGTAAGTGTCACTTTTCCGCACGATGCGACGTACACACACGAATTGTCTCTGCTTTTTCGTTTTCCGAATTCCGAGGGCACAATCCTACCGACTGCGCCAATTATGTTCAAGCGAAGACGAGTTGACTTTTTAAAAACTTTATTTTCAAAATACAATCGAAAATTAAGAGTTTCTGCAGCAGCAGTTACAACAAGAATAATCATATTACTTAAAACTAAGACTTTATAGGTTCATATCCGAAAAGCTGACGATGTGAATCTCACGGTCTCTTCATAGCACCATCGTGGCCAAATGCTGACATCGTAGATCTCACGGTGTCCTATCCTTATTACGTAGAAATCATTGTACATAACTGGAGCGAGTTTTTAATAAACGAGTGAGTGAAAAAGTTTACCGAACGTGTTGCATACTATACTTTTTCTACGACCGTTAGTTTTTGGGTACATTTTCGAAAAACAACACGAATACATTCACTGATGACGGAATTGACAAACGTCGAAATTCAAAGCGTGGGAAATATCTCCGAAAACATCCGATTGCTCCCAAATCCGGCTCGAATTCATGGGAAACGAAACTGACGGTAAAGTGACCCTTCCCGCACGCTAGATCGGTGGGTAATTAGGTATTTTACAGACGGGACTAGAAAAAAATATTATATTTTATAAAAAACCTGTTAGAGTAATATTGCATGTACTTGAAACTAAAAAGTAGGATAGCGTTGGCAGAAAAAAGGACTTTCCTCACAATTTATAATTATGGCCTCTTTTATTTATTTATTTATCTAAAAAAGTCAACCTAACAGGCATGAAACCCAACTGACAGGTAGGTTGTAGTACAAAGTATTAAATAGTTACAGAGGCATTGCAAGTAATGGTGATATGATGAAACTGGGAGAAGACTGAAATTAATAATTATAGTTAACGGGGCAATAACTTTTTCACCTTAGTAATAGATTGTGAATAAAAGTCAAAGTCGTTTCCAGCATTGTATTTGGAACACATTCAGAAAATAGGAAAAATTCTTAAAATATTAGTTGTTGGTGTGGGAAGAAAGAATGTGTTACTATGTGATGTTACGTTATGTTACTGTGTTAAACAGCTAAAATTATATTTTGTAATTTTTATTTTATTTTATGTTAATTACAATTTCAAATTCAGATAATACTTTTGTTTTAATAAGAATAAGTAATAAAAATTATTTAAGAAGACATTATAAAACCATATAGCGTTTTATAGATTTATTAAAAAGCGATGAAGCAAAATCATATTTAATTTTTATCAAATCGTTATCGTCTTTTTTTTTCAATTTTACAATGGGTGTCGATAACTGGGAAAATATTAAATGCTTGGATTGACTTTACCCTTTCCCAAGCTTCATTTATCGTCTGTGAGCCTATAATAGTTTTTCAGTTTTTCGGGTGAAACGTAGAACAAAGTGGTATTAATACTGCATCAGAAGTATTATTTTACAATCTGACCAAATCATCTCTATCGCATTAAATTGGCAATGAGAAGGCAGAAGCAGCAAAACGGGATTGGCATTTGCCAATGTTAATTTGTCCATTCTTAAAAGATTGTATTTTGAAATTATTTCATATTCAAAGAAAAATACTTAGGAACTAGCTATGCAGTTTTTCTGGCAAGTGTTGCTTCACTAACTTCCATTCCAAGATTTTAAAGTAAAAAAAAATACATAAGTCAGTTTTTCCCAAAGCATATTGGTATATATATTGGTAATGAAGAAATGAGAGTTTCCGTGGGTATGAAAGTAAAATTTTTATCTGTTTATAGGTTACAAAAAGTCCACTTTTCGCATAGAAAAAATATAAATCACCTTTCAAAATTTTCGGTCTTCATTGATTTACAGCCCCATTTAAAAATAAGACTGACATACTCCACGAAGCCATTGTTAAAGCCAGCTTATAAATTATATAACGAACTCCTTCACCATATTCTTTCCAAACTATTGGTACCAGCTTTTTCTAGACACGCCTTTACTAAATATTCAAGTCCCGTCCAAAAATACTGTATTGAACGAAGAGGCATCATTTTTCATGTTTTCTCTCAAAACACGGCATTTTTCCCAACAAAATTTCAACCTTTTTAATCTATCAAATGGCGATTTCGTGTAAATTTGTGACTGTGACATCCAGTAATGTACTAAAAAAAGATGTCATGGAATAACGTAATTGCACAATTTTTCTCACTGGATCATAGATACAATACTATGTCTATGGATTACTGCTAATACCATTAAGTGGTGCAGTTTAATAATGATTTATAACTCGAGTAGCGTAAACTTAGTTTAAAGAAGTCACCCCGTTACGTTGTTCGCGTCTCTAAACGTCCTAAAACGTTTCAGCTGGGAGCGCAGACGTCGGTCCCGTCCTGCAACCCACTACCACCAAATATCACAGTCCACCGCAGTCACTTGGACGCTGCGGAAAACCTCCGGAACCAGTTCCTAGCACGTCCACCGCGTCGCTCCTCAACAATCAAATTTTAGCGGCGCATCGAGAAGACTCGAAAATCGACCTAATCGAGTTTAGCAATTCGGACACGGACTCGGACTTGTTGGACAGGACAAGCGCTGTGCCCAGTGCGCTTGTAAAATTGAAGAGCAAAAAAAGGCACGACCGGGACGAAGAGGCGAGGCAGAAAGTACTAGAAGAATCGATGCCGGATATAAGATTCGTACCTGCAGAACCGCCCGCTGTAATCAAGAATAATTTAAATGGCAGCTGTGTGAGTCGGGCCAAAACGAAAGATCGCAATCTGGCGGCCGCCCTCTGCGGTAAGTTGCGACGGTAGTTTTTCTGGTCACCGGACTATGGTTTCGTTTGAATTTTCTGTTAATCTACAAAAAATAAAAATACTTGGGCGTCGATCAATAATTAAATGGGATTAATGTGCCCGCCAATGGGCTTGTTTGCAACATTCGCTTTTGCAGCTTTTTTCACTTAATTCGGTGCCATTTTATCGTTAAAGCATACTATCAAAATTTTAAGGCGACAGAAAGCTTTGGCGAATTTGTGACGGCATTCCTTGCATTGTTTTATATTCTGCAACAGTGCTCGTTGTGTATATTTGGTTTTTATAGTAATATTGTTTTTTTAGTGTTCTGGTATCACTTGACACTTGGTTTGTACGGGCAATTTCCATAAATTTACCCGAAGTTCACATTTCTATAGTAATGGATTATTTTTATCAAAATAAGGATTTTGGAGTAGCCAATGGACCAATTTTTATTTCCATGAACTTTTAACATGTCATATAAAAAAATCTTAGTAGAATTCCAGTCGGAGTTCACCAAACGAACGGATCGTATCCCGTCATATATTATTATCACATTTTTTCATCCGTGAATCAATACGTGAAAACATACAAATATATATTTAAAAAAATTAACAATTTGGATATTGTCAAGCATACAAAAAATAAAATAAGTATGCCAAAATTAAATAGATAATTAAGGCATAAGCTCGGGTGCGTTGCAATTTAGATATTCAACTATAGCTTAAAAAAATTTTTTTGCTGTATTATTTTTAAAGCCACAATTTTTTTGTATTTTTTTAACCTCAGTGGGAAGTTTATTATAAAGTTTCACTGACCAAAATATATAGAGATGCGAACGTCAATAAATTTAGTTTAGGAAATTATTCTCACTATTATTTTATGTGTTCTGCACGCCTCATTACCCCTGACACACTTGCCAAATCGATGGCATATGACAGGCAAGATTGTACATAGCAAGTAACGAAAGGTGAACATCAACATTATGCCTCAATTGCTACGGTACCGTGCGGTCAATTTATCTTGATAACATGTTAATTGGTTGGAACCTTTTTGTTTTTAGAGATATCAAGGTAAACAAAAAAACGAAATGTAGGGTTAGTAGCCATGTATAAAACAAAATACTATCACTTTTCTGATATATGGGCCTACATCATATATTTTAAAGGGAACACCCTGTATATTATATATGTGTTTAATAGAATATCTTATTCCGATTACAACAATGTAACACACTTTGCATTTTAGGCCACTCGTTTTTGACAAATCGGCAAAAATAGAAAATATTTATATAATTTCAAAGATAACTGACGGATAAAAATATGCTTATGTTTGTAACAACGTTGATGGTTGAATTATTGTCCAAGTCATATGCTTCGAGTATACTGTCTGAATAATAAAAGTGCAACCGCAGCACGTCGTCAGTATATTAGACTTTATCCAGAGCGCCGAGCTCTTTAAAAACAGATATTTCTAAAGCTGACAAAGAAATTTGCAGAAAATGGTATAAACGGTATTAAATGCTAAAAAGGTAAACGGTTTTAATTGAAGAAAATAAGGCAAACATATTGGGATCATTTAAATTTCGTAAAACTTAAAAACTAAGTGCAGAACAATTTTATTATTTATTTTTTAGATTTAATGAGAATAACAATTTTTTGAGAAATATTTTATGAACTGTTAAGTTCGTTCACTACATGAAAGGGTTGTAATAGACAAACTACGCGATATTGGTCTTTAAATAATTCTAGACAAATACACGAAATAAAAACACCAGGGTACCCAAAATATGCTCCTAGGTGAGCATATTTTGAGTCCGATATTTATAGATCAAAAGTTAACTGGAGATCATTATTTGCAACTCATTTAGTATTAAATAGAACAATATATAGAAGATCAGCGCTGATTATATGGCAGCAAGACGGTGCCCCTCCTCACAATTTAAAAATTTTCTTAACATGGAATATCTCAGAGGTTGGATAGGGAACGAGGGGACTATGGATTGGCGAGCCAATAGCCCCGTCTTAACTTTAATGGGTTTTTCTTTTGGGGACACATAAAAAATCACGTGCACAGAACTCCTTGTAATAATGCCGTGGAACTTTGGCAAAGGATTAATTGTTAATTCAGCCGCCAATATTACTGCAGGATGTAATTTGTTGAATTTGGCAAATGAAATGGCATCTTCTAAATTATCCAAAAATGTTATAGAACTTTGGCAATTTATAATTATTTGCATTAGTGTATTTTGAGCTGTAATAAATGTAGTAATGTCGGGAATAGTATTATTTGAATTATATTCAAAATTGTCTGTTTTTTAATATTTTGTTCATTTTTCTGTAGAAGTGTTATAGTGTCATTATAGTTGTCGATTAGATGTTGAATCAACAAGGTTTGTTTTTTTAGTTGGACGTCAGATGAATATTTACTACGGACAAATTCTGCTATAGTTCTATCATATTTTTCTCCATCGTCCCAATCGAGAGTGTCAAAAATCCATTTCGATTATTTACCTACAGCATACACCTCTTTTTGTGCGATTAGATTTCATATTAGCAAGTTTGAATCTTACTTTGTAATTAAATATCGAGCATTATTGAGTAAATTATTTACATTAATATATTGTAGAGTTTGATAATTATGTTTATTTGTATAGTTTAGTGATTTTGAGATTACAGCGTAAGCGTACTCTAAATTACGTAATTACGTAAATTAGGTATACGTCGATGTTGAATAATTCGAGCATTTCCTAAGCGAAAGGGTAGAAGTGGTTTTTTGATTGGGATAATTTCAATATCATTATTCGCTATCACTAATAACAGCGTAGCTGCAAGAAGGAACAGCGTTGTCCGGTTCATTAACCTGCGAACAAGAAAAAGCTTTTGATGCGAGATTTGTGAATTATTTTATTTTTTGTGATAATTTTACTTCCATTATCTTGATCTACAATAACAGGTTTTCTCCGGAGCTTACGTTTTGTTGTTGTTTCAGTTGCGTAAAAGGTTTTCTCGTTTTTCGTTTTGTTTTTCATTTAAACGCATTCTAATTGCTAACGATGTTTCGTAAATTTGTTGATAAATAGTTTTTAATCTTTCGAGTCTATGTGCAATATAATTATTCATAATGATAATAAACTGTTTATTTTTCCATTTATGACATCAAAAGGTTTTTATTTTGTTGCGCTATGCATTGATGAAGTGCGACCTATAATTGCGTATTTTTTTAAATCTTTAGGTCTTTTTGTTTTGTCCTGCCAATGACGTCAGTTAAAACAACTTTTGATATTACCAATTTATAAGCATTGTTTTTTAATATATTTGGTAACAAAACAGATAGTTCCCTATATAAATCTATTTCAATGTATTGTACATAAAGGCAGTACATTTTTGTTGGATCCAAATAATCAAAAAATAATTTAATTATTTCATTTTGATAGTTTTGACTTAAATAAACAGAAAATCTTGATGTATTTTGAATTTGATTACTAGTATTTAAAGCATTTTCGGTAATTGGTATATTTAAAATAGGATCTTCAGCTGCTGAGTGTACAGTCCCACCAGTATTAGGAATATTTGGCGGTCTAATTTGAATGTCCGAGATGATATTAATTCTTGGAGTGTTTACAATTTCTCGAGGGTTAAACACGTGTTCAATTTGTTTCAATTGTTCAAGGCTTATATTGTGATCTTCTTCCGCATGAATGTATTTATCGATGTCTTCATTAATATCTCCATGATTTCCAAAAAGTATCTCATATATCTATCATATTTAGTTCGTTGCGTGACAGGTCATCAGCGTTGGTGTTTTGTTTTCCTTTCTTAAAATGAACTGAATAATCAACCTCTTCTGAATTTATTCGTAATTGTTTTGGAAATGTCACATTTATTACATTGTTCCTAAATTAAAAACTTCAAAAATTTCGTTATGAAAGTCCGGAAAAGATAAAACGTTTAGAGGTTGTGGGAAATTTAACGTTATTGAACTGAGGTGGCTTTTACTTGATGAAAATCTATTTATCAAAATAAATAAGAACTAAAAGTTCAGATTTTCACGAACTTATATATTATGACATGACAATTCTTTCGACAACACCGTGTCTTTATCAAATGTAATATTTACAAACTACCTGCTACTATATATACCGAAAAATGACCATAAAACCTTAATTAATGTTGCGAGAATTTTAGGTTCAATAAAGGAGATGTATTTAAATCTAATTGATCGTTAAATGGCTTCCAATAAATTTAATTTTCTACTTTTTGTGGCTGTGTATAATATATCAAAATTGTCGTCAAAAATGTGTTTTTCTGTGTTTAAGTGTGTAGCATAATTAGAATTTAGACTATTGTTTTTAAACGCTCTTATATGTTCGTTAATGCGTTTCTTGAAGGATCTACCTCTTTGTCCAATATACATTTTAGGACAAGATCCACATTTCAACCTGCAGACACTTGATTTTTGGGATTTTGGACATTTCGATTTATTGTTTTTTAAATATTTTCCTATTGTGTTGTTAGTTCCGAAAGCTATTTTTAAACCATATTTTGACAAATGTTTTGAAACTTTCGCTAGGTTCTCCTATGTATGTAATTGTTTTAAATTGTTCGTGTTCTGTATTTCGTTTCGGATAAATAGAGTTTACTGTTGTCTGTATTTGTTTTTTATTTATAATTTTATCCATAATGGAGCCGTTGTTCAGTGCTATTTGTTTAATGATAGTAAGTTCTTTGTTGTAATTTTCTGTTGAGAGTGGCGTATTAAGAAGTCTGTCTGTGTATAAAAGAGTTAAATGCAGCCATTTTGTATGTATAAGGGTGATTTGAGCTGTTCTGTATGACTGTGTCCGTGTGTGACGGTTTATGATATATTGAAAAATCTAATTTGTTTTGCACTTTCGTAATAGTTATGTCTAAAAAATTAATAGAGTTATCCTGTTCAATCTCGATAGTGAATTATATACGATTATGTATTGAGTTAATGTAATTTAAAAAAGAATTTAATTGTCTGTCCGTTCCAACAAAGCAAGCAAAGACATCGTCCACATATCTATACCACCATAAAAAAACTTTAAAACCTAGCGAAAAAGTTTCAAAACATTTGTCAAAATGTGGTTTAAAAATAGCTTTCAGAACTAACAACACAATAGGAAAATATTTAAAAAACAATAAATCGAAATGTCCAAAATCGCAAAAATCAGGTATCTACAGGTTGAAATGTGGATCTTGTCCTAAAATTTATATTGGACAAACAGGTAGATACTTCAAGAAACGCATTAACGAACATATAAGAGCGTTGAAAAACAATAGTCTAGATTCTAATTATGCTACACACTTAAACACAGAAAAACACATTTTTGACGACAATTTTGATATATTACACACAGCCACAAAAAGTAGAACATTAAATTTATTGGAAGTCATGGAGATTATTATGGTATTGCTTAACGATCAATTAGATTTAAATACCTCTCCTTTATTGAACTTAAATTCTCACAACATTAATTAAAGTTTTATGGTCATTTTTCGGTATATATAGTAGCAGGTAGTTTGTAAATATTACATTTGGTAAAGACCCGGTGTTGTCGAAACAATTGTCATGTCATAATATATAATTTCGTGAAAATCTCAACTTTTAGTTCTTATTTAATTTGGCAATTCTAGAAATCACCTTGAGAGAATGCTCATGTGAATGTGGCTGTTGAGTTGTTTTTAAATTTAGCATTAATAGCCGGTTTTTTATTTCTCGTAGAATTGAAAAATTTGCCGGTTCCGGCACTGCATACGGCGTGTGTTTTCTGTCACGTGGATTCTCCGACCGAATTTTACATTCAACCGGTGACCGACGATTGTCTGCTCGACTGGTAAGTATTACTATAGGTGAGTTCGACGGAGTAGGAGTAGTTTTTTGTCACGTGAGCTTGGTATTAATAGAGTGTAAATTGTATACCCTTGGACCTTTGGAGCAGAACGTCAAACATAAATGTCAAACAGCTGTATTGGTTTGTTGTTGTTTTTGTAGTTGCCGAAAAGAACTAGTTTGTTGCGTGTTTATTTTTATCATCAATTTTTATTATTAATGAAAAATAATTTTAATATTTCTGCCCATGTTTAGTTTTATAAAAAAAATATCTGAACGACGAGGATTATGAAGTCAGGGAGACACTGTAAATCATGAACTGATATAAGGAATTTCGAAAAATTGAAAGGCGTAAATTTTAATAATTGGCATGGAGAAAAATGAAATAATTTCAAGTCACGGTTGAAAAAATGTCAAAATTCTAACGAGCAGGAAAACTAGCCCGGTAAGAAACTAGTGGTTTCAAGCACGGAACATAACACAAATATATATATTTTATAACTAATCAATACAGTAGAATTTCAAAATGAAATTCATAGGTAAGTGTTATATTAAATGTTTTTTTTAACTAAAAATATGCAATACTAGTTATCAAATTTCTTTTTGCATTTACTTTTTTATGGTCCTCTAAAGTTAAAGAAAAAAAATCAAACTATTTTTTTATAGACGTGATTTAAACTTATAACGAATACAGAGACCGCAGTGATCCCTTATCATTACCAAAAACTAATTTTAAAAATCTTTTTAGGCCTGTGAACTGGGTCACTGGCTACTTTATCAAATTGGACCTCACATGAAAGATGCTGAAAGGACTACAGCTATTCGTAAAACTCTAAGGGTGAATAAATTGAAGAACAAAAACGCAATCGCTAATGAAAATAATTTATAAATATTTTAATTTTTTGCATCACAACATTTTTTGTATGAAATAATGTACCAAAGAGATACTGGGCAAGATTTTTTTTAACAAGTTTATGTTTGTCAGAAGTGACCTTATAGTTGAGGGTTCTTGCTCATATAATAAAGTTTCGTGAAACAGCTGAAGAAAATAACCGTGAGAAGCAATTGTGAGTTTGTAATCGACTGCCAATAAAATATTATTTATTTATACATGTTTAGATTTATGGAAATGATGGCTTTCCTGGTGTAATAGGGTGTATTGATTACCCTCACATAGCCATAATTGTTAGAAAATTGAAAACCCTGAAATGCCTGCGGTCATCTTTTACTGCAGGAAATAATGTCTAGTTTTAACGTTCAAAGTAACACTATGTTCATATTTTAAAACAGTAACTATAAGAAGGTGAAGGTTTTCTTTTAAATGCAGATTTGTAATGCAAAATTAAAAATTTAAATATCAGGTTTCCGGGATGTGTCCATGATTCTGCAATATGGCAGACTTCAAGAGTAAGAATTCATCTGTCTTATTTAATTGTTTTTATTACCTATTGGAACCATGGCTGCTTACACCAATTTCCAACACAATAACGAATAATGAAAAGGAATATAATCGTAGGCATAGATTTATCAGACAGTATAGAAAACTAACACTTGTCTAAAACATAGAACTCTACATTATTTCCCGCAAATAACAGGAAAAATCATTTACTCCTAGTATAATACATAATTGTTGAATTGATAAAATTTAGATGGTAAAATGTTACTGTATTTTAATAAGGACATTAATTATATTCTTAGAAGATTATGATGATCAAGAAGAAAATGATGAAAATTTGGTTGAAGTGGAAGATTATTTAAATCGAATTGAAAGAACTGTTTGTAAGAAGGTCGTATTGTTCGAACTAGAGTAGTGGAAAATTACTGTTTTTGAATAATGAATTTCCAATTTATTTTGATTATAAATGATATGATCAATTTTAATTTACATATCATATAAACATATGTTAGTATTTATGAAAATCTTTTATTTTAATACACTGGTGATAAGATTTGCCATTGCTTTATTTAAAATATGGAGATAAAAATCGCACTTAAACTTCTTTCAATTAATTTCGCATTCTTGCCCAAGATTTGGAAAATACAAATAAATCAATTTAATTTCTAAACCAAACTGAAACCGCCTAGCGAATATTTGGTAGAGTTCACTAAAGTATATACCGTTTTTACGACATAATCCGGTATTTAATTTTGGTAAATTTTTATGAAGGTCTAACCGCAGGCCTACCTCGCTTAGGTGTTTCTTTGTACTTTCGTGCATACGAATGCTGCACGGATTTGGGTAGAGTTTCATCGGTGAGTTTCCTGGATTGTTTTAGTCCATGCAGTGAAAAATACATTCTTATTTTTAAATCCTACTCTTAAATTGCAACAGTCGCACAGTTCTTGTCGCCTAAGATCTTAAATACGGTCCTGGCTTGTCGTACACGTTTTGAAAATAATGGTTCCTTCCGCTTTTACAACAGGCATCATAGAACAAATGGGCAAATTCGACAGTTTCAAACTTTTGTGTATGTTTGCTATTAAAATCCTGCATTAGTCACCCTATTTACGTCAAAAAACGATACCCAAACGAATAAAGTGTATAAGGAGTGACTCGGAGTACAGGGAGTTAACAAGCCAAACCCACCTTATGTTCCACAATTTCGCAATTTTCTTTGGGAAGTGTTGAAACCAACGAAAAATCCGTACGATTTCATTTCAGGGTGAGCTACACGTTATCTGCGAAATTAAAAGGCTCTCACCCCGAATTCGTTACGAAACAAGAGGCGTTCTCAAAATTAGGAAAATACTGCGTGGCTTACGTCTTGGAGCAGAAGGAATGGTACAGGATGCGCGTGCTCGATTGGAAATTGGTATGGCCCACATGTTACTTTTTTTTATTTCCTTATTTATTTATGTATTTATTTTACCCAAGACCTTAATAAATTAATTAACCAAACAACATAAGGAAAAAAACAAGAAGTGAAAGTACGAGGTTGAGTCCAATATACATGAGCCTACTACTAAGAACAACAAGGTACAGCTAGTTTCATTTGGCATGTCTGATGGCATCCCCAGAACGCCGTGGTTTAATACTGTCTCTTCCTCCACATATATATGGAGAGGCGGTAACCCCAGTAGGGCGTCTATGGCCGCTGTAGGCTTGGTGCTGAGGGCATCAGAAATTGCTATACAGGCTTGCCTCTGCAGCCTAGCAATTTTTGTCTGGGCCAGTCGTTGCTGTCACTTGAGCCACCAGACTACAGAGCCATATGCAATCATAGGCCTAATTATCAGCATGTATAGCCAATATATCAATAGGACCCATGCCCCAGGCTTTGCCACAAACCCTCCAGTATGTTCAGAGCGATCTTTCCGCTTTCCGGATAGTCTTCTCTAAGAGAGAGAGTTCCAGTTGAGGGGGTACCAAATTTTCCAGTTTCCTTCTGTTACCACTTAGTTTGACGACCACCTGTAGAACCACTTCCTTCCACCTTGTGGACAACCCCTAGCGGTTCTGAAGTGGACAATAGTTGGTTACAAATCGCTTGCCTCTAAGTGCTTCTTTAATAATAATGTATCTTTATTTAAAGTATTAAATAAGGTCAGAAATAACGATATTTATATTTTTATATTCCATTCCATATTTTTATATTTTATCATATAAAGTTTCACCTTGATTGGAATTTTAAAAATTGCTTTTTGTATTTTTGTACTTCTAATAATTTGTAGCCATTCCGAGAGAGACTGTTGAATATTTTTATGCACTTGTAATAAGGGCCTTTCAGTTGCTGTCAATCGATGATCTCAGTGTCCGTGTGAGATAGGCAGTTTTTGACTCACTTTTTTCGTGCCATTGACGTTTATAGTCTTTGGTTCAACTATTTTACACTTGTTCGTCTTGAATAATGTTAAATTTGTTTTGTTATTATTAACAACTAATTTAATCTTATTGGGTCAATGTTCAGCTATTGAGTAAGCTTTTTTCATTTGAGGGTCAAAACATGTGACAATTACATGGTGCTAAGTCTGGACTGCAAGGTGGATGATAAAGTGTTTTCCAGTTCATTTCTACCAGTTTCTGCTACATTTCAGCTTCTGTGTGAGACCTGACGGTGTCGTGGAGGAACAACACCTCGAGAATGGGATAATCTCTGTTGGTTAGTTATCATTGGAAGAGAGGTCAGGAGACCCTCGCTAGTCTAGACAAATTACAACTCCTTCGCCAATGGTTTCCATTGTTTTAGGTTTTTTGTTTATGACTTTTATTCGGTATTCTGGTCTGAGCATACTTTATTTCTCGAGTTATTTTGTCATTTTATGAAACCAAGTTTAGCTATCTGATTACACTATTGTGCCCACACTAGAGAAAATAAACCCTAGATATCTGATCTGTATCCAGTTTTTTTTACGATTATTTTTAGTCCAAACCTTTGAAACTCTTTCTGTAATTTTGGTAACATGATGGATGCGTCCTCAATATCAAAGGAGATAACCCGTCAGCGAATAGGAGAGTGTGGAAAGGTGGACCGTCAGTAGGTTCCATTGCATTTATTTTTCCACACACATAGTTATTGGTTCAAGTGTATTTTGAATAATAGAACATAACATTCAGATTGCAAATAAAACGGGCACGTTTACGTTTTTACAGTTCTCGGATAGTTTATAATATTTTTAGGGGAATAACACCAGAGAGGTGGAGGTGCAGTCGGTCGATTATGGCTTCAGGCTCGCCCTCTCCTTCACTTATTTACGGAGCATGACAAAAGAGGTCGCCGATGTCCCAATGCAGGCCATCAGATGCCATTTGCCATTCGTAAGTTCTGACCTACTAAATCCTTTATTCGCAAATATGGTCTTTATTGTAAATTATTTGTTATTATTTTTTAATTCTTATTGATTTTTAAAATCCAGTTTCTACACAATATTAACCATAGTTATTAAGGGAGTATCGTTATAAATGCGAGACAAATTCAAATATTTGTTGTTTGGTGCTCTGTGTTCTATGTCTGCAAGAAAAGCGGTGGGAGCTGTTCGTACCTGAAATAACTGTCGATAACTCCTGAAAGGTCTAACGAAGCTTGGTTTCATTAAAAAGGAGTTTTGCCAGTCTATCAATCCTAGTGGCGTTTTCTGAAATTGGCAAAAATATGAACAACTGCATCTCGATATCTTTATTGTAACCTAAAATATGAATGAAGTAACTTAAAATCAAAAATTTGAATTTTGGTACGCTTTCACTTTATTAAAGAACTTTAATGAAATGTATTTACCACGTAGAAAAAAGATCGGTTGTTGCATTTGAGGTGATTATTTTAGGTATAGTCCGGGACATAATACATGTTATTAAGATTTTTATCTGCTCAGAGGCATTTTTGAGCCAATAAATTAATCCGGTCTAGGGTAGTCTAATGATATTGAAATACAAAATATATGACAATATTCTGCTGTATTGCATGCTGTGCAATTGTAATTAAATAACTAATAAATAAGTATTAAATAAAATTCGTCGTCAAGGATATAATTAATAGTTTTACGTTGTCCCAAGTTTTTTCTATAATAATTTTGAGTTTTTAATTTAGCCCATAAGAACAAACTCTTGCAATTCCTCTTTTTTGCTGCCGATCCTTGGTGCTTTTTTAGCACTGTGATAACAAGCATTATCATGAACTATTGCGCTGCCTTTATATCTGAAAGAATATAATTATTTACCCAATTTTCAAAAAGTTCACTGGTTATCTCCTGATGGTAGTCTGAAAGGAACCAAGGTACCCAACTTTCCCTCGAGTCACAGTGTAAAATGGATGTTCCTTGTCCTGTAGATGCAGGTACCGGGCGATCCTTTATAATGCCCCTTCTTCCTTTAACTTTTTTATTTAACGTTAAGGAAATCCTTCAAATTCAAAAATTTTTCAAAAAATAGTAAGTAATCTATTTGCAAGATATATTTTTAAACATACAGGATGTTGCAGAAATCACCCACAGAAAAAAGTTATTTATTTTTAATGGAACACCCTGTATATTATAGGCTTAATAAAATCCCCTAAAAATTCTGCCTTACTTCTTGTATAATATGTCCTATACCCAACACCAAAAGTTTTTGCTTTTAACATAAAAGCAACATTCAGTAAATGAAATAATATTCTAGAATTTATTATTTAAAAAAAAACAAAATAACTGACAGTGACACTGACTAGTTACAGATTTAGCAAAACTTGCGTTCCTTATTATAAAATGAATCGTTCTGAAAGAGCATGGTTTTGCTAAATCTATCACTGTCAGTTATAAACAAAAATAATTGTTTATTTGGCGACGATTTAATAACCATCCAAGATATAATTTTTCATAAGTTCTATAATTATTTTATTTTTGAATATTGCTTTTATGTTAAAAGCGCATGTATCTCAAAAACTATTGGATTTGAGTATACGACATATGCAAGAAATATGCAAAATTTTTAGGCGATTTTATTAAGTCTCTAATATGTATGATGTTCCATAAAAAAATATAACACTTTTTATTTGTCGGTGAGTTGTGCAACACCCTGCATATATAAACATATATACAAGATGTTATTCAAATTACAACATATAATTTAATGAATGGATCTAGTAGTCTAGTTACGTAAATTCAACGCCCCAAAAAAAATGGCTTGATTATTAGCGTAATACGTCACGTGTACCCGTGTGGTAAACTTTTAAGTCACTTGTTTATTAAACACTCGCTCCGCTCGTGCCAAATAAACTCGACACTCTGCCCTTGTTGCACATAGCTTTTTTAACAACTTGTATATTTGATGTTTTTTCCCAAACGTTAAATAAAAAAGTTAAAGTGGGGGGATATTATTAATGATCACCCGGTACATTCTAAATTCAGTTCGATGAACAATTTTGCCACCTTTTTTTTATGGGGTCATGAGTGTCGAATCAAGTCTCTTCAAAATGACATATATTTAGTTTTTTTGCTCTCTAACTCTCCATTCCTAAACACTTTCATTATACTTTTGTCATATCGCTCCTTGCTTTCTGGTGATTTACCAAGAAATGGCAGCCTCTACACACTACACGGCTACATTTAATCAGTATGATTGCAACTACTCATGTCATTCAAGATTGACATTCTCCATATGTCGCAAAATCAATCAGATTTAAATAAAATACACGTTTATGGCTTCAATCATAATTTAAAACTCCATCCTACAAAATCACAAGTTTTGTTTTCTGCTGGCAAAAAAATTATGAGTTTGAAACGCACGTCGGAAAAGACTTTAATGTTTTTAAACGTATATAAGCACGTTTAAAAACATTAAAGTTTTTTTAAACAATATTTGCCATTTACACTAAAGATCCAGCTTTGTGACACTCTGACCGTGACGTAGTTTATGGGAATCTTGCGGTTGGCACAAAAAATCAAGAATATAATCTTTAGACATCACATAACACCTTATCCAAATTCTAATCCATTATTATATATGAAGTGTAGAACATATCACATGCTTTGTTTTGGTAAATTGAATTCTCCATGGCGCCGCTAGCTGCCTTTTCTGGTAGGACTATTTTCATGCTTTTGATCATTATCATAACAGCAGACATTATTTGATTATTTGATTTGATTATCGATTTTAGATTGCCATAGCACAAAACTGCAAATTTTCAAGTCTTTCGTCTATGTTGCTGCTAGTAATTGGAATTGGAAATAGAACTTTCCTAAGAAATATAAAAAAATATCTTCTGTCGGAACAAAATGTTTATGCCCTAAAATAAATGAAGTATCAAATCAAGTATACTATGCTGCTGCTCTTCTGTGGCTCCAGTTGTCGATATCGAGGTTTTATCTCTATTTCATTTCTGTCTGCCTGTCGGTCCGCCTGCGCGTGCTCCTTCAAATGAACGACGTAATATTAAATTATATCTTTATATTTTTTTGTCTTAATTTATAATTTATATACTTACAATATATAATTTTTCATTTAATACGTGTCTGCACAGCGCAGGTAGTGCAGTTCCTGAGTAATCTTTTTTTTATAATCACTGTGTGCCGAGCAAGTGTGATGCATATTTGCTATTGTTTGTATATAATCTGGAAAATTCAGTTTGATTGATTGATTGATTGTTATTATTATACATCTTTTGCAGCTTTATCCTCCTGGTTCCACTTTTATGAATCGCTTGACCGAATGGCCACTGTCTTCGGTAGAAGGAATGTTGGAAATTGTAAATGTATACGGCCAAGATACTGGCAATATCAGTTTTTTCAGGATCGACCACGCTGTTCTAGAAGGGTAAGAATTCATTATATTTCACACAAAAATAAATAAAAACTTATATAGGAATAAGAATAATATGAAAATAAATGAATTCTAATAAATATTATTATTAAAAAATATATACTATTTACAAATACGACTTTACCGTCTATATTCCCTCTGGTAAGAGTCGCTCATTTTAAAAATGGTGTTCTGCCTTGCTACAAACCCTGTTACTAAATTCACAATGATATGGTGGAAGGCCAAGTATATTTCGTTTTGAAGAGATTTCGTCGACAACAAATTTCGTACAAAGCGGTTTATTCAAATTTACAATTTCAGGTAACTTTTTCTGAAATTGCTGCTTATTTAAAGTAAGGCAATGGATTATGTTATTTTCTTTCCGAGAAGACCCGAATATTTTTTGTCTTGAGGAATAAGATCCAGTATTTACTGAAACTAGTCTTCACGTAAGAATTCATGTCTTCATGATAGTCTTTAGTCTATTTTAACTAAAATGCTAGTAAGCCATCGCTGAAAGATCCATTTTTACTACGAAAGTGTGTAATTTTTAAACTGTATGGTAATTAACAAATAGTAATTTCCGGGCTGTTACGCCGTGCTCTATTGGTTTTGCTACCTACCAAAACTTTCAATTGCTACTGCGGCAGCCATCATCAATGAAGTGTAGATTTTGGCGCGACGACTGTTGCGATACTGATACCGGTTGTCGAAATCATACCTGTTCCCATGTTTCTGTGGAGACTATATCCGTACAACGACATGTAGCGTCACTACACGTTTAGCATAGCATAGAAGATCTTGCCGCTTGGGACAAGTAAAAAAATTGGCGGTTCTGGAGCACGTGTTTTCGAACGGGGATTATAACATCAGATTTGAAAACACAGAGGCATTGTCAACGGAGAAGCACTATATTCAACATTACATCCAGAGGCCATCGAAATCCATAAACACAAAGACAATTTTAAGAAGAGAGAGGAGGGTTACAAATGAATAGAATATGGCACAACATCTTAAAGAAAACACAAACGGTTTACGAACAACTCGGCAAGCGGGCGGGTCGTACTAACACCCGCCCAGTCCGACTTAAGTCCGGCACCAGTAAGGCAACAGTCGTCGCGCTACAATCTACGATCCGCTGAGAATGGTTGCCGCAATAGCAGTTGAAAGCTATGGTAGCAAAACCAATAGACCACGGCCTAACAGCCCGAAAAAAATCATTAATTGCGATACCGGGCGTGAAAGCCTACGGAAGTATGTGTATCTGTGTGGTGTCAGATCATGGCTTCATTATTAGTCTAATACGTCACGTATACCCGTTTGGTAAAATAAGTTACTCGTTTATTAATACTCGCTCCGCTTGTGCCAAATAAACTCGACACTCAAATGCCGTTTTCTGCGCTTATTCCATAATATACTAATTTAGTTTTAAGAAGTCACTTTCAAGATTAAATACTAACTTACATTTTCTTAAGCGTTTATTCGGTGTGACGTTGTCACATTAAAAAAAGTTCTCCTTTTGAATGCATAAAAATATGTACTGGCATCATTGTCTCAACATATATGCATCACTTAAAATGAAAACCATGCCTTGATTGTACAGGGTATTTGGCAGAATGTTAGCCAATCTCGGTGGGCGTATTGCTAGGTTCATTTAAAAGATCTTTTTTATTAATATTTCGGTGTTAACGTTCCTCATTTTTTGTATCATTGCTTTTCTAATATTTCAAAGGTTTCCCAGAAATGGACGTTTTGGCATATGTAACTTTTTTTATAATTTTTATAATAGTATATTATGCAATAAGTGTGATCGCGAAGGGAACGAGTGATTAATAAGCGAGTGACTTACAAAGTTTACCAAACATGCTCATATTCTAATACTAATGAACTAGATGCCCTTTTTGTAGTATTTGATTCCTTTTTTCAAGATGGAAAACCCTTTATTATAAATAAAATCTTTTTCAAATATATAGTTGCACTTTTTTTAGATGCTAAATACGATTAAAAAAAAACGATTTTTTCATTTAAATTTGATCGCCAAATAATTATTTGTTTTTACAATATCAACGCAGGCCACAACAATGTTGTTATTTGTCCTCCAAAATATAAACATTTAGTAGCCTTTCTATATGGTTAAAGAGATCATCAGCATTATTATTATTTATTATTATTATTATTATTATCATTTTAAAAGTATTTTTCTTTGTTGCCAGGAAGTCCTTAGCGGTAGATTTGAGTCCTTACGGTAAACCCGGATCGGATACTGTTGGACAAATGCTGATAGATCTAGAAGTCGCGGTTCAAATCATCGATGACTGTGAGTATTCTAGGTTAAATTTTTTGCCATTACTTTCCTCTAATATATGGTACTATCATCGATCCAAATTACTTAAAGAAGTACCATTTAGATCACAAATAAATCCTCAGTTTTGCTTGAAAGCTTTTATTAACATTTTGGGTTTTTTTACGATTCGGATCAACATACTTTTCTTTGTTTTTCTCCGACTAACAAGAACGTTTATACATTCTTCGTACCTTTTTGAGTTTAATCTTAACATATGTAATATATGTAATTATTATTTTGGTATTCAACTTTATTGGATCTTCTCTCTCGGATCGAAACCTGTGTTGGCTGTGAAGTACTACCTGGATCCACTTACCGCCTCTTTTCTTTGTAACGGATCTTGACATTCATGGGGCATGGATCTATGAGTGCATGAGCAATTTTGTAAACACCTCATTATATCATACAGGATCCCATTGGCACGCAAGCAAAATTTTAATTTTGTTGAATAAGATTGTTTATAACTGTGTTCGGCCATTGCTGATGAGTTTATTTGTCTTGGTCATAAGGCGCTTTCATGTTCTTTGAGCCTAGTTGATATATGGTATATAATGGTTAGTAATTTGTAATAAGAAGGGGTCATAAATTGATTTATTTTTTCCTGGCTCATTGGGAGTTGGTTTGAAACTATATGAACCATTTCCGGGCAGTAGAACCACAGTTGATCGAAGAATTAAGGCATCACATCTCAAGTGCCGGACTGCCATAACAAAACCGCACTCAATCCCTAGCAGCACAAGCACAAGAACGACAGTTTTGGGATAGAGTCATATAAAGATCTTTCAGTCTTCCAAGTAGTGTAAAATCAAAGTGTAGGGACCAGACACCAGCGTTTCAAGCCTTGAGGTACCGAGCTGCAGGCTAATTCAGTGTAAATGTATGGCGATAGATTTCATCTAGAGGAATGGGAGTGCTATGGCTAATTGAGGGGTTATTTGAAATATTGAAATATTGCAGAATGTTATGGTGGCTAGTGTGGAACAGCTTTACCCCAAAATAATATTTTCCAACCGTACAACTCTTCTGTCCATACTGCAAACAACGTTACATTTTGGCCCGCAAAGTGCCAACATTGAAATTTTGGCATGACCAAGTAACAGTTCTGACATCAACCGAATCGAAAACATTATTTTTAATTAAGTTGTTTAGTTAAAAGTTACAACTCATCTTCTTATTTTTAAAATAAATAAAAGTCGAGTCTGTTTAATTTAGACGTTTCTTGATGATAAAACTTACGAAAACAAATAGCAATAATGATTAAGAGTTTTTAGTAATAAAAATAGATTTAGGAATACATTTTATCGTAAGAGATCGGATACACTTTTATTGTAGTTAGGCAGTGACAAAGCCATAGTAATAAGTGCTTTTACGCCTTTTTCTAAAACAATTGAAGAAACAGCTAAACTGAACCATTGATGATATCCACAAGGAAAAAGCTCTATTTATTTATTTAATCAAATTCACTAAAAAAAGGAACATGTGTTTCGTCAAAAGGCTTACAAATAAATACAATACGGAAACAATACTTAATAGAAAATATAAAATATAAAATTTCTTTCACTTCTCTTCAGTTGTTCTGAAAGAACTCCTTCAACGAGTATATTTTGATAATCACTAATAATTTTTTCAGTGAGTTTTTAAATGTGCTTTCTTTGGTAATAAATCTAAGAACCTTGCAAGTGGTTTTATCCAGCTGCTCCTTGCGGTAGAAGTGAACCTATGCTGTGGAACTCACAAGTTTTTAGGTGATCTAGTCATATAACTGTTAAAAAGTTGTGTACATTTTTTCATTACTCTTTTTATATGTTGTTGTTCTCAAAATTCATTTTTGAGCACCTACCCGATGTACCCACTGTCAATACAAGCGACAATACCATAAGATAGTATGGAGTTAACATGTGCATAATAAAAAGATATCGCAATGTTCCTATTAGAATATGACCTTCCCAAAATAGGTGAAAATCTAAGTTTATGCCCAAGAATTTTACTACTTTACTCTGACGACTGTCTGAGGTTATAATAATACTTCTGTCTGGTCAGCGAAGGACTGCATCTTCCGTGCACAATCAGATGCAGAACTTCTCAACTGATGAATATCAGACCTTGTCACAACAAGAGCGATATGATGTGCAAGTAATGATACCTTGCCGGATATATTCAATTGACCATTTTTTATGTCATCACTCCTTTCAATTACATGCCACACTGAGTGGAATTAATGTCGCTCCTTTCTTAGGGTCACTCCCTGATATGATAGGTTTATAATCTAACTAAAAAACTTGACATTTTTTTCCTAATTAATCACATGGTCAGTTCTTGACCTTGAACCTTAAAAACGTTGTCTTATTCTTGATCTAAACACATTGAGGAACTATTTTTTTAAGGATTGGATGACCATAAAGCTGGTGTTACTATTTGTTTTAACTTGTGGATGTTCTGGTAACCAAGACCACTCAACATTAAGTTATAAAAGTTTACAAGATGTAGAGTCTGGCACAGGTGAATGGTCTGAGTATTCTTTGTCTTGAAAAAGAACCCGGAAATCAGATTAGGTAATAATATAAATCTGAAGAAGTTGCCAAGCGAGCTTTGTTCCGCAAAGAATCTTTTGTCTCTTAAATTTGTAGCTGTTTCTTTTAGGTTTAGTCCTAATTTGATTTTCTGACGGGTCTAAACATAACCTCAACCTTACAAAAACTAACCTATCTAAATAGCAATTAGAATTTTGGTAGGGGGATGAGAAACATTTTCAAAATTTTCCTTTACTGGGATATCATGTTCTCCTGGAAATTGTACTTGCAATTTGAGCGTCATTTTGAACTAGTCGTTTTATAGTTCTAGGTCACTCGGAGCTGGGCGAATTTCTAGAAGACATTGACGAATTGGAAAACGGGGACAACCTGAACGAACTTCTAATCGGTTACGATGCTAGGGATGAGGCTCGCATATGCAGATTCACGAGGTCCGACGGCAGCTGTTACAAGGGAAAACACTGCAAACTCGAACACGTCGCTCTACCGAAAGGTATGATTTTGTTTCCAGGATAATGTGCCTTTTTTATTTTTCAGTTTTAAGAAGATTAGAATACTTTTGGTTATGTACACGTACACGTTTGGGTAAATAAAACTGAAATAAGCACAAAGCGTTTCGTTGGTGATGCTTAACCCCTACGAGAAATTTTTAGATTACAGTCGTTTAGCAAACCACACTGAAATTGGGTTTATTTATTTATTTGTTCATTATCTATTAATATACAGGGTGTCCAAAATAAGCCCCAATTTTGCAAGGTTTCTCACCAGTAACTGCTAATGAGTTTATTTGTCTTGGTCTTAAGGCTGTTTCATGTTCATTGAGGCTATATATTCCGTCTGGTCTCTCAATGGAATGTTGTCTTTGACGGATCCAAGATGTTGAGATATTTTTGGACAAGTGATAAATCTGGTTTTGACGTTATATTTTTGTAGAAGTTTTGACATGTGATCTTTTGAATATAAGGAAGTACAACAGTGGCAAGTGTGGGATGCTTTCGGCTTTCGGCAGAGTTTTAAGACTAAGACGAATAAACTCATCAGCAGTTGCCTAACACAATCACGAAACCGGACATAAAAAAATGTATTCGGTAAAACTAAAATTCTTGAATGTAATCAATTCTTCTATCAACGAAAAATCCGAGTCTATAGAATCTATAAGCAAGCTAACAATCTTAACCGCGACCTGTCACCAATATGGGAATCAGTCATCCGAGACGGTGTTTATGCCCCTCATTTAGCACCGCCCCCCTCAAACTATATAAAACCAGGTACAGAGTAAAATGCGAGCCAGTTTCAGTCAAGCTCTGTAGAAGTCAACAGGATGATTGGCGAAATCTTAGCTACTTCGACGCAACAAAAACCAACGCAGGAGGAAAGGAAAGTTTCTTTGAAAAATTCAAGCTATATTGTTGACGGTCCAACTCCAGTCATAGTAGAAAACGTATCAACTATTTTTGAGTGAATGTTGAGTTTTAGTGGCAAAGAACACGTTGAAAATAATAATTTTCTTATGTTTAGAAAGCCTGGTTATACTAATCCATTTCAGCAATAATTCTACGTCATTACATAGTTAAACAAGAGCCCAAGAACCCAACCGCATCTCAATATCTTCATCCTAACCTAACGCAACCCTTATAAATTAATAACTATATGCGAATCGTATAACTAACTAAACATTGATAACGATAAAAAACAACAAAATTGATTGACAGGAAAACCATGTTCAAAGTGCCTCCCGTCATTTTCTGTGCAGCAATTTATCCTGCGTCATGTATTTCATACAGCTGCACTAATTTCAGCTCTTGATTGGTTGGTTTACAGCATTTCGGATATGGTCAACCATATTTTCAGGGGTAGTAGAGCGAGTTTGACAAACATTATCTTTTATTTTACTCCAAAGGTAGAAGTCCAGGACATCAAAGTCCTCAGATCTGACACGCCACTGAAACAAACTCTCCCTTCCTATCCAACGGTTTGGCTTAGTTTAGTCTAAAAAAATCCTAACTTCGTGAGAAAAGTGCGTTGGGAAAGAAAAGTGGGTTTATAATTGGATCACGCAACATTAATTAACTTCAAGCATCTAATGATTATTCACTGGCGACTACTAATGCATATTTATGCAATTTGACTCCTCCATTGCTCAAAAAGTGTCGTCATGGGCCATATTATTAGTATTTTAGAATTCGGTGTACGGATGTTTTAATAATATCCAAGTCCACACTTGGCATAAATCGGGATTAATGTGGACATAGGCAAGAACATCAATGACGTTTTCTTCGTTCCTAACGCATCGATTTATTCGAGGCACTGGATTAGGATGAACTCGTTCTGTTTCGCCTGCACATTTCCTTAAACGGCTAAATACCATTCTATTAGGCGTCAAATAACGACATGATATATGCGTATAGCGTTTGATCTGATAAACTCCAGTCGGAGCGGTTTTGTCACGTATAGTGATATAATCAAAAATTATCCTTGTCTTAGCTATGTTGCTACGTTTTTTAAACGGGTTCCGATTTTAATTAATTCGTTAGTTTAATTCGGATACGCGATCCTATTTTGTAAGGGTTTTTGTAACGTGGATGTTAGTTATCGTGTTATAAATGGTAGAACCTACTAAAAACACGGTCATAAAACGGCCATTCGTAACAAATGCCATGTACTTAGGTGCATATTATTATTTTGTCATAATGAGGTTATGGCAAATTGGTTCGGTGGCTTATTTATACGAACGGACAAAATAACAGGCATCAAATATATGGGAGAAAACAAATATCAATTAGGTAGGTTTATTTTTTTTAAAACTCCCAATACTTCAACAACAAAAACAACGAAAACTTATAACGCAATGAGCAATTAAAGAAGGGGAAAAAAAACTTTATCGTCGGAAAAATTATCTGGGGGAATATTAGATGTATCCATCCACTTTTTCTTTTCCCAAGCCGCACTTCGCAGACGGTCTGTGTTTTAGTTCTTATGAATACTTCATTCATTTTCTTATTATTATTCATTATTATTATTTTAGTTGAGCAAGTGTTTCTGTCCATAAACGCAGTATGACATCATAATACTGTTTACAATCGCATTAAATTGGCAATGATAAGGCAACAGCCGCATAGCGCATGACCATTTTCCATTAAAGATTTTTTTTTATACCTGCTGCGTATATAGATAGCATAAATTCGTGTCCGTATACTATGCTTGTGTACTTTATAAAGGAATGTTCCGTGTGCTGCGATATGACTGGTCTACACTTTAACTGTATGTTCATGATGGGTTTTGATGCCTCCAGAAATAAGTTTATGCACCGATGTTAGAGAAATATCTAATCCGCAACATGCTACAATAAGACAATAAGTACCTTCCTTATTAATATTTTTCAAATACTTAAATTGCTCGTTTATAAGAATGAGATGGTTTTAAGTATGGAGTGAATAGTTACATTTTATACAGCGTTTAAGGGTAAAAGCGGTTTCCCCGCATTTTTAAAAATAACGCCTTGTTCTTTTTCACCAAATTCTCGTTGCATTTTGAAATGATTTAATTATCCGCTAAATTTAAAAATGTTCATTTTGACTCGGATTTTAACACTGATTTCAAAACTGACAAACAAAAGATGTCACTCTATGACTTAATTGCACAATTGCTCTGACTGGATTACGTAAAGGTATGTTTTCTCAGTCTCGATAATTAGGTAGGAGATCCTTTATTTGTTTTATGGTTTTGCACTTACTGCTTAGATCGTCAGTAGTTAACTTAGTTCTTAACAACATTGATAAGTGGCAATCTATTTTTTTATAAAAATTTTTTTTAATACCTAGTATTTTAAAACAGATAAGGATATCACAACATTGTAATAATGTTTATGGTATTGTAAGATAAAAAACGAACTTTTATTTGATTAACAACCCGTAGCTTATTTGATATTCTTGAAAAAAAAATATCGTTGCATTTATTTTTTTTTCATTATTTTTTTGCTAATGTCAGAAAACGGCACCTGGTGGCCATTTTAGAATCTCAAAAATAATTTCCAGCATTTTGTCTTGGCCGATTTGCCTATTTTTTTTTCAAATGTTTAGGAACACCCATTTCCCGAAATATTTTACCTCGTTGCCCTTACTCAAACACCCGGTATTTGTTTCTTTACCAAGTGTATCACTAAATTATTTTCAATGAGCATTGTTGGATTACTTCTAAAGAAGTTGAAATGAGTATTAATCATCGAGTACATTTATAAGTTACTACAGCCACTGTTGTCCCTAGATGGTTACACGACAGACACCGTGCCTGTACATTACAGGTGCGCCAACGACTTGCGGCTTCCGAAAAATGGCGACCACATCCAGGTTCTGATCTCTGAGTACGTCGACTCGTGCACCTTCCTAGCACAAATTATAAGGAACCCCGTCAAGGACGACAGTAAGTAGTATTTCGCTAAATATTTACCATTATAATTCCGGTAAGTTGTTCACTATATATATACATGGGAAAACGAATTTACTTGAATTAAAGGTAAACGCTTTTTTTCACTAAATAATCTATTTGTATATACCCAAAGTAGCGTATTATGTACTTAAAATTAATTCTTAAATACACATTGCCTTTTTTTAATATTAAAGATTTACCAACTGAAATCAGTTTCTCAAAATCATTTCTCAAGTTCGCAGTCTATTACTTATAGCAAGTAATTCGTTTTTCTCTGCGGAAACTAAAAACTAGACACAGAATTTTATTGAGAGCACGTGTGATTTATTTAATTTAGTTTAATTAAATTAATGTAATATAATTGAGTGCACGATTTCTCAATTCGAAAGTACCGTGTGTTCTGTTAAAGGAATATACAGGTGTTGAAAAAGCAGAAATTTACAACAAACATATTTTATTTCAAAGGAAATATATATTTATAAACACCAAACGAAACATTAACACAAAATAAACATAAATATTCGTTGAGGAAACCCATGATATGATAAAGAAATAAAATATTTATTGTTTATATAGGGTACTTTTGATAAAGACACGAAACAATTGTCATGTCAAAATATATAATTTCGTGAAAATCTGAACTTTTAGTTCTTATTTATTTTGATAAATGGGTTTTCATCAAGTAAAAGCCACCTCAGTTCAAGTCCTATTTACTCTCCAAAGAATTTTTAAATTTTATATAAATGTTCGAATATGATACACAAAAACGCATTTAAAGTTTTTTTTTAATAAATCGGAAACGCGATGTTCAATTATTGTTTCAATTATAGCTTCAATAAAACCTGAAGAAGCAATGGTGTCGACTTGAATTTGTTCACGCTAAATAGGTAGGTAGCAAGTGATTTTTCAGCTATTGAAATAATAATATAAATGTACTTGCGTGTTATAAAATATGGAAGAGAAACTTTAAACGGTTTACTGTATACTATAGATATAGATATAGATATATAATTACCGATAAAATTTTCTACTATAGATCTCGAAATTGCCCTGCCAATCAGCAATTCAATCATCGTTTTCAAAAATACAAAGAACAAAAATACAAACAACTATATATAAGTTAACCTAAGGCGCGCCCAATTGGTCTGCTGCTCTGCTCATATCATTTTTTAAATTAGAGGTCTGATATCCTTAATTTAAGTATTAATGTTATTGAATATAACTTATCATCTTTCAATCTCAATTGTTGACAATGCGTAGTCTTATGATTGCTATGCTATGCTATGGTTGCTGTGAACAGGGCATTTTCCTGTGAAAATTTGTTTTGTTGAGTATATCTTTGTCTTTATAACACAACGAAATTTATTCCCACTTTAAAGAATTTGGTCTCCAAGATTTAGATACAAATAATTATGTTCTATATTAAAAATGATTGAAATTTAGAAATTCAAGAACTTAATTAAAAAATGAAACTAGTTTTTTTTTACATAAAGACAGTTGAGAAAATATTAACTTACGATAAAATATTGATAATTTAGTCAATTTGAGATTTTGACAGACTTCAATTAAATATTAAATGCTTTCTTTTGAGATTGCTGGTAAGAATTGGATATTCTCAGTTTAAAATTCAGTAAAAATATGAATCAGAAATTTCGTTTTGGATTGAAGCTAAAAAACTTTTTTCCGTGTAGATGCTCTGCCTAATGCTACTAATAACTTATGAAGTAACGTGAGAAAATCCATTCAGCATGCGTATGCGCGAGATTTGTTGTTGAGATTGGTTTCAACCGTGACACATTGTAATTGCAAAGTATTGAAAGCAGATATTATACAAGTTTGTGAGTGGGTTAAATTCACTTGTACGTTAGGAAATACAAACCAGCAAACTGAGGAAACCTGCAGGATAACCACTGGTGAAAAGTTTAATTCATTAACAACTGAGGCAGGAAGACTACAAAAAGAGTTATAAATAGTAAACAGTAATGTTATGTAACATGTTGACTTTCCTTAAGGTGTCTTATAAACTCCGTATAAGTGTCCCCTTATAACAAAACCTTAAGCTGTGGAAAATACTAGTTAGGATTTTAATAATAATATTGTTTTGTTTCTCCGTAGGCGGTATAGTGATGGACAAGGAGCTCAGAGATTTGGTGGCGGCGATGAACCACGCGAAAGTGACAAGCACGTACGAACCGCTGAAGGTGTGGCCGGCGATCGGTGAAATGGTCGTAGCGTACCATTTCACGAAAACATGGATGAGGGGCGTGGTCAGTGACTCGAAGAAGAACGAAATCGGTGACGTGATATCCGTGAAGGTATAGCAAAAGCAACACATTTCCACTTAACATAACGTTTCCGAAACTATTTTTTTTTCTTTCGGTCCTTAACGCTCTAACAAAGCCATAAGTAGTCGCAAATGCTTCCGAATCACCCACCGGTTACTTAATTATAATATTCATTAAAACCCAAACTTGTATTATTCGATGAAAAATATTTCAATAAAATATGATATATTATTATATAAGTATAAAAGTATCGAGTATCTAAGACAACGTGGCATCTTGTAGGCATAGAGACCCAACTTTTGTGGAATTTGCGACCTATTGACTTTTAACATTGGAATGGATTCGAATACGCCAATCCAAAACATCACAAAGACGTTCAATAGGGTTCAGATTTGGCGATTGGGATGGTCATTCAATTACACCTATGATTTTTTCTTTAAACTCATTCTTTCACTAACTTGGATGCATATTTGAAATAGCCATATCAATGGCAGCTCTTCTTCGACAAACGGTAGCATTATATTTTGCAATATATCCTTGTATTGAAATCGAGACCCAGACCATTATGTTCCTATCAGTCTTCTTAGATATTGTCTGCCATTAGATCCAAACAGGCAAATTTTGCTGACATCATGCGAGTGTATTCCATTATTCTCTTGAGAAAGACAGCTGAGCACTGGGTCACTCCATTCGGGCCTTTCTATTCTTCTTTGAGGGAAGCGCTTTTTTTTGACAACTGTTCCATGTTTCGTTTTTAGTTTGCCTGGATGATTTTCGGGGAGTTTCGATATTTTTAAAATGGTTTTATTAATCCTGGAAGTAATTTTACGAAGTTTTCCCGAATTAGATACTACCACGTATACTATGTAATATTTTAGTTGCAGCATTTTTTCAAATATTTGAACTCTTGAGCTCTTTGGAGAAAAAAATTTTTTTTTTGAAAATTTGGCGCTTTAGCTGTATGTATGACGTAAGATTTAAGCAGTAGCATACCAGTTTTAGCATAATTTTCAAATTATTTTTTGGGAATTTATGAGGACAATTAGTCCTGCTTCTATTTCAAAAAATGCTTGTCTGTATTTTTAGAAAGCGTACAAAGTGCTTAACCGATTTTTTAATAAATATGTTTAATTTAAAATAAAATATTTCGTTTGTATCTCGAAAACTACTTCATAGAAACATCTGGGTATGCCACCGAATTCTGGATTCTACATTCTAGACGTTACATTATTCGTAAGTCATGCAAAAATTGTATGGCAGCTGGTGGAGATAAATTTAACCAGTTTTTGTAAAACTTATAATTTTTTGTATTTCATTCGTTATTTTTTGTAATAAAATAATGAATGATAATACGTCAATTGTTAAACAAGATAGAATAGAATATGTTCTAAAATGCCAAATATATGTTTATTTTAAATAATATATTTAGAAGATTGTACTTTTTTTTTAAATTGTATAAATAACGCAGTGAAACGAGATATAGTGCGTCTACTAATGTAAGGATGGGGAGGCAGGTTCGGATAAATCGGTTAAAAATTTAAATCTGCTCTCTGAGAAATTCGCGCAAATATAAAAAGCTGGATATTGGGAGTAAAATATTTTAATGTTTGGATAGACTATAAAAAATGCTTTTAAATTATGTTTCACATAATCATGATCTAGCGAGCGGAAAGTGTTACTTTACCACGTAAATTTCGTGCGCAACGGATCCGATCCACTTCGGACATTTCCGGGATATTACCGCAAGGGTTTGAGATGTTTTCATAGATTTTTTCTACTCACATCTGTAAAATGCCTAATTACACACCGAATTAGCGTGCGGGAAGCGTTACTTTACCACGACAGTTTCGGTTCCCACGGATCCGAGCCACCGCATGGGTTTGGGAGCAATCGGATGTTTTCGGAGATATTTCGTACGCCTTCAATTTTGAAGTTTGTCAATTCTGACGGTCATATCAGTGAATGTATTCATGTTGCTTTGCAAGAATGTACCCAAAAACTAACGGTCGTAGAAAAAGTATAGTATGCAACACGTTCGGTAAACTTTTTAAGTCATTCATTTATTAAACACTCGTTCCGCTCGTGTCAAATAAACACGCGAGTCAAATGCCATTTACCGCACTGTGTTCTCACCAGACAAACAAAAAAAGTTTTGACAGGCAATTATTGCTGTAAACATAAATGGTCTATCAATCTTTGGAATAGTAATATTTAAAATAGTATATTATGCAACAAGTGCGGTAAACGGTCACAAGTTTATTTGGCACGAGCGGAGCGGGTGTTTAATAAACGAGTGACTTAAAAAGTTTACCAAACGTATTGCATACTATAAGTTAGTTTTTGGGTACATTTTTGCAAAACAAGACGAATACATTCACTAACATGGCCGTCAGAATTGGCAAACGTCAAAATTAAAGCCGTGCGGTAAAATCTCCGAAAAGGTAAATGTCCGAAGTGGTTCGGATCCGTGGGGCAAGAAACTCGCGTGGTAATCTGACGTTTCGCGCACGCTAGATCGGTGTATAATTAGAAAAATATTATTTTGCGTCATATTTTTTATTTTTGATGATTAACCTCCCAAGGCGGCAGACCTAATTTACATATAATGTTAGAGACCTAACATGTTCCTACAGCAGCACTAGGTGATTATCATCAACATTTTCCAATATTTTGTATTTTTGAAAAATTAAAACGGAAACTACAACTGTATCTGCTACAAAAAACCTTCAAACTACCGAATGAAATTTGTAACGATTATAATCAAATCTATTCAAATTTAGAAATTAGAATTTGTTGATACATTAGATATTTTTTTAGAATAAACGAGAAAAAATAAGTAAATCAAACTTGCTGACGTTTCGCCAATCATCTTGTGGGCTTTTTCAGAACTTAACTGAAACTGGTTCGCACTCTACTCTGTACCTGTTATATATTGTTTGAGGGGACGGAGCTAAAGGAGGCATGAGCATTGTATCGGATGACTGATTTCCATATTGGTGAAAGGACTCATTGTTTTTAGAAGGTTGTGGTGAAGTGTATTTTGTGATGGAATTGTATAATTATTAGAGAAGGGCAGATATCATCAGCTGTTTGAGATGGCAATTTGTTTAGGATAGACTCGACATTTAACATGATTTTCTGTTTAGGGAGAACTGATTTTTTCATTTCAGAAAGTGACATTTACCATAGTGTGCAACGTTTGATGTTCCAGTAGTGTTGACGCGTTTTTCAAATTTTTGATTGTGATTCTGGGTAGAAGATAAACGAAGATTTTCAACTTTGTCATGAATCATGTTTGAAAGAGTATCAAACTCGGATGAAAACAAGATGGAAGCAATTTCAAGATGTAGAGACAGAAGAGTCTTATTGTCTATTTCTTTCTTTCTGAATTCTTTCTTGAAGTAAAGCGAAACTAGATTTTTGAAGAATTTTATAAACAGATGAGGTTCTGACATGGGGGGATATTTTAAGAAAAATAGAGATAACGTTATGGTCTCTACAACGTAACAAAAAAGTTAGTGTACAGAAAAATCTTACCAGTTTCAGTCGGTAATCTTCTAACTTTATGACTTTGAGACTATGTTCTCTCCAGAAAGGCGTGTTAATTTTTCAAAGAAATTTGATTAATTAATCAGTTTGAGTAAAGCTCTGAAGAAGCCAACAGGATATTTGGCAAAACATCAGCAAGTTTGATTTGTCAACAACTGCCGCGGGAGGAATCCAAAAAGTAGTCATTTAAAAATATTTAGAAGGTTAAATTTCAACTGCAATAAAATAAAAGCAAATCTTTATTTTTTTTAATTCCTAACACGGCCTAAGCTTTAAACTTTAGTAATGGGAGTCTTATTCCGCCTTAAGATACCGTTGAACTTTATCAATTGACAAGAGAAGACTTTATTTCTCATCAAATGCGTAAATAAACCAACGCCCAAATAGGAGGTACGCGTTAAAATGGAAACAATACCATCTCTCTTTATTATAAATGTATGGCAGAAACTTGTTTTTATTTAAGGTTTACATGATGGATTTCGGCGACACTTTGGAGGTAAAATTGAAAGAGTTGAGGAAAATGAAGGAGGAGTTTACGCGTCTTCCAGCTCAGGTATTTACGGCACGCCGAGTTGTTCGAGCATTTGTGTTATATTTTATTTAACTTTCCAGATCGTAAAGCTTTACCTATACAACTTCCAACACAAAGCGGCTTGCGACGCAAAGCGTGCCCGAAAATTCTTCGAGAAGAATATTGCGTATCGCAATTTTGTGGCGCATATCATGTAAGTTTTTATTCTGGGTTGTTCACGGCACGGAATATTTTGTCCAACGTATACAAGGTTTTCAAAACATTTTACTTCTGGGATGTGCGAGGTCCCATTATGTCAACTTTTCAAAATTACTTTCAAACCATACAGGTTGTCTCAAAAGTGTTAAAAAGTATCAAAGCTGTATTTTTAAAAAATGAAACACTATGTATATTATAGAATTTTTCAATTTTATGACCAAAATGAGTGTCCGTGTGAATAACGTTTATGATACATATACCTAATAAAATGTAACTTAATGTATAGGGTGTTTCACTGTTGATGGTACCTTAGACGTCTACGGCGAACGGTACATAAGATTGTTCTAAAAATTTGGTTGGATCCATAAGCGGCCATGCTCTATAGATCTTTAACGCTGCGACATTGTCGCTTCTTTGAAAAAGTAGCATGAACATTGAAATTTTAAATGGGACATCATGTGTGTTATTGCATTTTCCGATTCGCTAATAATATATAAACATATCTTCAATTAAATTTTTGTTACTACAACATTGGAGCCATTAGAAAGTTAAATTTTGAACATAGCTTAGGTATTTTGTAATATCAAAATTAGTTGTACATTTTACAGGGTTGGTTAAAAATAATGATTTTTTTAATATTATTACATATAAAACTACTCCCGGTCTGTAAAATACCTAATTACCCACCGATCTAGCATGCGGGAAGTGTCACTTTACCAAGTCAGTTTCGTTTCCCATGAATCCGAGCCACTTCGGACATTTCCGAGATTTTACCGCACGGATTTGGGAGCAATCGGATGTTTTCGGAGATATTTCCCACGCTTTGAATTTGGACGTTTGCCAATTCTGACGGTCATGTCAGTGAATGTAATCGTGTTGTTTTACGAAAATGGACCCAAAAACTAACGGTCGTAGAAAAAGTATAGTATGCAACACGTTGGGTAAAATTTTTAACTCACTCGTTTATTAAAAACTCGCTCCGCTCGTGTCAAATAAACTCGTGAGTCAAATGCCGTTTACCGCACTTGTTGCATAATATAGTATTACAGTAACAAAATACGTATTAATGCGTAAGTAAACCAAACAAAATTGCGGACAGCAAAAATGAATCCAATTTTAGCATTAGATGGTCGAAATATTCACCATCGCATTTTAAACACTTTAGCCTTATTTATCTATTATGGATCTAATTGTACAAAGTATCGTACAATCCGATAACGTAACTAATCCTCGCTATGCAATGGTGTCACAAATAGACCCGTGATTTTAACGTAACCCGTAGGTAAAAACCTAATGACGTGAGATCGGACGATCTTGCTGGCCAATCTCACGATCCCAAACATCAAAACCAAACTGGTCATTAAATAATTCGTATAATTCTTGCGACATCTCTTCAGTGCAGTGAGCCTGTCGGTGCCCCATCTAGTCGGCACCGACAGGTCCAAAGTTCCAAAGATTCTCGAGAAAATCATTTACCACTGACTGCATGAAAGTTGTAACATTAACAACCACTGTTCTTAATATCTGAAGGTATTTAAATAATAAATGAAAAAACTTACTGTATTATATTTTAACAGACAAAATATATTTAAACTAAATTTCCTTTGAAATTCCATTTCTTCTGTGTCATGAGGCTTGTCGGCAAAGCAAAAGTCTTCTGAAAGTTTTACTACGTCGGTCCAAAGAATCTATCACAAAAATTCACTCTCTGAACTTTGGGAAATTTAAATGGATGCATCTCGAGATCCACCAAAATTCATGTGTAAATTGTCTGCATGTTCTTGTTATAATATGGTTGGATTGTCGATGCATATTAAACAAAGTGAATCAAATTGGCTGTTAGAATATGTGATAATATACAAGGTTTTCCATTTGTACAAATGCACTTTTCACAATTTTTGCATCTGCTTGCCTACCAGAATGAATTACTGTATAATGTAGAACTAATTTAGAAGCTATATCCAAGATTTTAACTTTCTACTGGCTTCAGTGTTGTAATAAAAATCTATTTGGAGCCATGTTTTGGTAGGAAGAATGAAGAAAATAATTATTTTCTCGAAAACCGCCGAAGGTATGGGAAACGTATTATGTTACGATTCAAAAAATTGCCCAGGAGAAAATTAAGATGCGTGCAGAAAATTAGGTGTTTCTTAAAAAGATGTTTCCTTTTGTGTGGCCCGATGACTTACTTGCAATCACATGGAGCTCTCTTTAACTCAGAAAATAGTTCTACTTTGTTATTATTCACCTAGTCTTTGAAGTTGTTAAATATCCAACGGAGCGTAGTTCCGCCCTCCCTTACTCGAGTTGTATGCCCAGAGAACAGTGTTGGTGGCTCGTAGCTCTAGATCCCGTTTTGGCCATAAAATTCCAAAATCTCCGTAATGTTATCCCATGCTCCTGTGCTGTGCGTTCTGGAGTTGTAGTTGCCTACCTGTTTTGTTGTTTCTTGTAGCTCATGCTTTAGAGTCTAAAGGCTCGACCAATGAAGCGATATTCCAATCGCGACATTCCTGTTCTACCGATTTACTAAAACTAAGTAGATATAACCTTAATTTTGCTAGAGCGAAAGTTTCAGATTTACATACAGCTACTGAATTGTTGTGTCCTTTTATTTCCATGGTAATATTAGCTTAATTATGTTCTGCTTCCCGTAATCGTCGATGGCTGGAGAGGATCTATTTTCCGACAGTGGATTTGTACCGGAACGTAAACAATAGCATTTCCCTTTAAATTTGACGTACCAATATGGTCGAGTTTCGCTTAATAGTGGATGTTGCTGAGCAGGGCCTGCCCTCTCGCGGGTGCGTTGCTTCCTTGGTATATTTGTGGGCATACGCTCGAGTTTTGAGGTTGACCGTTAATTGGTTTGCGGTGAGGCCACTGAAAATTATGCCGCTTCCCATTTATTTCCATCAGGGATTTGTGGCCGGCATCCTAATCGCCTTATCCCTTGTCACGAGTCGCGGTTGGCAATGCCTATTTGTGTCCCGGGAGGTGCTGCCCTCTGTAGAGGAATACTACTGCACGATACCAACTTTTATATCGATTAAATGGGACGAATATGGGCCTTTTTTTGGTACAGTGCCGATCAGGGCTGCTAAAGTTGCTAATAGATTTTGGAACAAGAGTGCTGGGCGATATTTTATGATAAAGCTATTTTTAGCATAGTCTTCGGTAAGTTGGGCTTCGGTCGTTCCCGGAAATCGTCACGTTTGGCCGGAAGAGTGGTAGGGGTTTACGGTTTACGAAGGAGATTCGGTGAAGGTTTCGTTTTGGAGATATCATTTTGTGTGGTCTTGGAGTGAATGCTAGTGTTTGTGCCCTCTGGGGATTTATGTTTTGTTGTTCTGTGAATCCCTTCTGCCACTTTATGTGGGATATAAGCGTACAAATTGCATCTGGTAAAACCGATCATTTTAGGGAGATCTTATCCTCATTAGGCTGCTTGTACACCGACTTATTAAATAACATAGACATGACTTGCACTGTTTGCAGTTTTTTTTATTTCTTCTCTTCTCTCCTTTTATTTTGCCAGCGCCGGTGTTGAACATTGCGGCGATCATCCATTCCAATATTCGGAGCGGGACAGGTACTCCTTAGTGTCTCTCTCTCCCGTCGAATGTCCGGCCATAGCACGACGTTGAATTGTGTCTATATTATTCATTCAATTCCTTTGCAATGCAAGCATATAATGGCATGCTGATAATGTTATAAACTGTGAGCTTTCGTGTGCGCGTTCGGTGGGTTTAATCACATCCAAATATAATATAGTTTTACGCTAACTGCCTTGCATCCGCAACAACTGGTATATGCCAAATGATCATAGTATATTTTTAACCTTCCGCGCTTAGCTTACCTTGCTTTTATTGGCGCATGCATATAGTTAATATAATTAATAAACAAATTAACTAATCGTCTTCTTACATTGGTGAGTCATTTTTCCTCACTCTCCTTCTTACTTAGTACAATAGTAGTATAAAGGTACACTATAGTCCATCCCCACTCCTCTCCCTTTTTGTGGGCGTGTCCTCCTTCCCCACGACCCTCTAGCTCCTCCCCCTTTACCCATAATCCCTTGAAACTGGCCCCCATTGGATAAGCAACCAGAAATGTGGGGTTTAATCAATCCCCCTCCTCTAGTTTGCGATGGCGGCGAAGCCAATCAAATCCCAGATATTTTCCCACCCGTAAGAAAAGCAATGGCGTCAATGAGACTTGATCATATTGTTCGGCGTGACCATCTGCACCCTCTAGCGGTTCGAATGTAAACTGCCCCTCTTGGAGTAAGATTTTCTTTAATAAGGTAACCCCACCTAGTGAATATTGACCAGAACATTTATTTTAAAAACATATAGTTCTGCGAATGTTACCCTCGCGGGTACAAACTGTACTTTTTACTATTGCGCACAAAGGACAGGAGAAATAAAGACGAAAAGTGTTGGATTTCTTTTTTCGGAACTGGAAGCTGGCTGGCACCACCAATAATATCTGCAAAACAAAAACCTGGTTAAAATTTTTATTAATAAATTAGGATATTAGAAACCATATGCATTATTAATTTACTAAGCCATCTACCGTGCGTTAACTTCATACATATTTCGGCATTCTTCTGTTTTAAGGTATCGTGAAATATTTGACTATTTATCTGGGAAAAGTTCATATGTCGAACATATTATGTGTACGTGGCCGTGGTAGGTTTTCTTTGCTATTATAATTTTATTGTTTAATATTTACAAAATTAATTTATCTATCTTATTGATGATTTAGATTTTCTTTGCTATTTTATTATTTGTTTTTATTATTTAATATTTTCAAAATTAATTTATCTATCTTATTAATGATTTTAAGATATCGCAGTCAACTTTACTATTTCAACAATTTGAGGATAGTGTATCCTATATCTGTTCTTTAACTAAATCCCCGCCTTTTTGAAAAACCAACCTCTAAAAATATTTAATTTTCTCTAATATAAATTTGTACATTTTCCGCAAT